GGATGTATGACCATTGTGTGTCTCTCAGCAAACCCTGGACACAGGCAGGATTGGGATTGCCTCCCAGGCCCTTGGAATAGCTCAGGCAGCTCTGGACTGTGCTGTGGATTATGCGGAGAAGAGAGTGGCATTTGGTTCACCCATTACTAAACTGCAGGCTATTCAGGTAAGCGGTCAGACTGAAATATGTTGCCCTGTTTCTGCCAACATCAGGGACTTTGGTCCTGAGTGTTTTATTTCAGCACAAACATACTGCTGAGCTGGCATGTAGAGTAGAGCAGCAGCTGGCTTCACCACTGAAAGGTGATGCACTTTTAACTTGCTGTGCACAGACAAGTGCTTCATGCACACACAGGCCTGGCTGTGTTGCCAGACACGTGGCCCCCCTACTGCCTGGGCCCCCATACAGCTGGGACACAGGGCTCCCTCTGCCTTGGAGTCCCCCACAGCATGGGGAGGTTGCCTGGGATGTGGAGGCTCATCAACACATTCTCATTTAGGCAGAACTTGGGAGTCTGGGGGAAGTAAGGCTCTGCCCTGAGGTGTTTGTGTCTGTTGCAGTTCAAGCTGGCAGACATGGCACTAGCCCTGGAGAGCGCGCGCCTGCTGACCTGGAGAGCAGCCATGTTGAAGGACAATGGGAAGCCTTTCACCAAGGTATGTCCATCCTTCCATTTACCTAGACACCTACTTGGATCCAGACCCTTTTCAGGAATGGCTTTGCTTTCAGTGCATGACCTAGATAGTCACAGCTCAAGGGCAACGGCAGGAGGCAGTGGGCACTGCATGGAGTCCTGCTTGTCTGTTATAGGATGAAGGAGTGCTCAGAGGATTGACTGAGATCTCAATCAGCAGTTTCTCCCTTTTAAAAGTGAACAAATGATGGGCTGGAAGAGCTAGCACAGGGGTGACAAAACACCTCTGCCCCTGGGTGGATCCAGATTGCAGGGCTCCTTGCAGGCCAGGATTTTACCCAAGGAATGTGATGACAGTGGCAGCACCAGCTCCCACCACATGCTGTATACCCCATGCCAGACCTAGATCCGCTACTGCTGGCATGTCTTGTGGTAGGGCGGCACTTCTGCTTCTGGCACAGAACACGTGGAGACTCCAGCTCTGGCATGGGGCTTGCAGCATATGGTGGAGATGGCAGCATGGCTGAGAGCCAAGGAGCTGGTGCCACAGTGGTGGTGATGGATGGAGCACCCGGAGGGCAACTAGGGCTGTGCCAACCTTTGCTCACCTTCCTGCCACTAATCACCATGTCCATTGGTACCCTGGACCCAAGGGCCCTGGATTCTGTGGCACGCCACTGCCCCCAGTCACACAACCTCAACTTCTGTTGGCCTGTCTGTAGCCTGGCAGGCTGGACCTGGTGTGCAGCTGCCTGTCTGACACCCCTGAGTTAGGTTGTTTAGTCTGGAGAAGAAAAGACCCAAGTGGGGATTTGATAATAGTCTTCAAATACCTGGAGAACAGTTATAGAGAGGATGGAGATGGGCTGCAGGGGACAGGATGAGGAGCAGTGGCCTCAAGCTGCAGCAGAGGAAATTTAGGTTGGAGATTAGGAGGAACTTTCTGACTAAGGGTAGTCAAGCATTGGAACAGACCACCTAGAGAAGTTGTGGAATCTCTGTCCTTGACGAGGATGGTTTAGTCAGGGATGCTCCTGCTTTGAGCAGGGGGGTGGATTAGGCAACTTCATGAGGTCTCTTAAGGCTTCTTTTTCTGTGATCCTAAAACACAAAGTGCCCACAAAACAGGTACAGGAGGGGCAGTGGGTCTTCTCTCCAAGGCATGAGAACCCACCCTTCAGCAGATAGAATCCACCCATCTCCTCAGCCCAGTAGAGGACAAGGGATATATAGCCCTCCTCCATTAACTGTGGTGGCCTTCTGAGCACTGGCCTCATTAGTGGACTTGGACCCAGTTATTTACTTTCACAGACCCCCTTCCCCTTCCTGCCCCAGTTATCAGTTAGAGTGTTCCTAGTTCAGCTACATCATGCATGTATGGATCTCTGAGTATCAGTAAATGCAGGGCAGGATGGTGTTTAAATGAGTAGTAAATGTCTTCTCT